TGAAATGCCCTGGAGTAGCCCACTGTCTTCTTTCAGAAAGAAAAGTGCGTGGGTCAATGCAGTGCATTTCAAAAGGATCAGTGTCCAGACAAACCTGTGTGATGTCCCACAGCCACTGGGTTCCTGTGTATTTAGGAATCAGACCTATGCTTCTTGAATCCGTATCCATATAGTTGGGTCATGGGAGCAACAGGCAATGCTTCTGGTGCTAAGTTCAGTTGAGCAGGCAAACCTTAATTTTTATCCTCAATAGTGTTACTTTTACTGCATTCTAAATTACTCCAGCCCTCTTCTCATGAGTATTGTGGGAGGATTTGTAGCCTATTCTGTGCTTTTGTGGAACTGGGCATCTGTTAATGCACATGATGCAGGTCACAGGGCAGCTGAAAACTTTTCCTTGGATTCCCACAGAGGACGACCAGACACTCCAACTACAAGCTCAACTCACTGAACTCACATTGATTCTCTCTGATTAGTAGAACTCTTAAAATATTTTGTATCATTTAATGTGAAATGAAGTGCTTGCTTCGGCAGTACATATACTAATGTGAAATTTAAACAGTGTTTCTTACTTGAGTGTAAACTTCCCCATTTCATAGCAGGTAAAGCTGAGGCTCAGAGAGGTGAGCTTCCCAGGAAAACAGAGGAGAGTGGGGCAAGTCCAGAAGTGGAGACCAGATGTACTGGATTCAGATACTGGTCTCATTAGGGAAGAGCTTGACCAGGACAGGAGGAAGGGAGGGTGAAGCCAGGCTGGGCAGCAGGACTTCTGTCCCTCAGCTCACTGCCATCCTCTACATGGCCTGACCTATAAGGGAACTTGGCTAGACAGCCCATGTAGAGGGTCAGGGATGTCATGCCCCAGGTTTGAGTTGGAGAATCTGTGGGGAGAGTAGAGACTGTTTGGTGGTACAGGGGCCTGACCCGGGTCCTGCTGCATCTGCTCTATATTATTGTTTTGTTCTCTGTGTGCTCCATGTTTGAAGGAGTGACAGGGGTCTCATGGGCACAGTAATAGGGTCAGATGATTCTTGCAGTGGACAAAAGTCCTGTACGGGCTCATTCTCTGGGTCCCACCCTCTCTGGCACCCTCTGGGCAGAGCTCAGGGTCAGGGTCAGGCTCAGGGTCCTGTGGGGGCTGAGTCTGTGAGCAGAGCCTGGGCAGCACCTGGGTAGCAAGTGAGGAGGAGGAGCAGAGGAGGGTCCAAGCATTGGTGGGCAGCCCAGACTCTTTCTCTTGAGTCCACTGCTGAGCCTGGCCTCCCTGAGACTCCCTCATGCCCTTTCACTGGTTCCTGTGAAAATGGTCCTCATGCTGGCAGAGAGAATCTTCTTGCTTCTGTGTGAGCTGCACAGGTTTGGCTGATGTGGAGCTTTGCTCACCTCTTAGCTCCATAGGGGAGCTCTGGTCACTCCGTGTTTGAGCTGCATCACAACTGGGGAGAGGGACAGAGGATGGCATTTCTGTTGAAGTTCTCATGAAATTTGTCATGTGATCATTTGATTCTATTTCAAATGAGTGTTCTACTCTCTTTCAAGCGAGTGTTTCAGATACACTAGACATGAAATATTCCATCTTGACCACGTATAAGAGTTCAGTTTAACTTCCCAGATTCTCTGTTCTGTGCTTTTTTTTTACATCTTGAATTATGGAACAGAATTGAGTGCGAATATTGTCTTGATCTTGTACTTAGTATAAGATTATTATGTAGTTTTCTCATCCTTCAGTGTTGCTATTAAAATCATTTTGACAATGTCTGTTTTTAATTTGGGGGTTTAGACCCTTTCCTGACTTTGTGTGGTAACATAGTTTGTTAGAGCCCATCCTGATTTTTATTTTCTCTATGTTCCATGTGTTGTCTTTTCTCCTCTTCCATTTTTATCTTCTTCTTGAGAATTGGAGCATTTTTCTATAATCTGCTTTGTTTTTCTGTTTTGTCTTATTACTGTAACTCCTTGCTGTCCTGTCATCTGTGACTCATCACAGGCTACATTCAGGTGACGTCACACTATGGGACAGGGAGCATCAGACATTAGAGACCAATTCCCACTCTCTTTTCTCAGGGCTGTGGTAGGAATGCCATACCCATCACTGTTAGCTATGTGATAAATTCCAACATATGCAGTGAATTAGATTTGCTCTAGACAGTGATTTATTTTTCAAAGAGAGTTAAATCGTCAAAAACATTCTTCATATTTATCCCTGTAGTTATAATTTCTGACTCTTACAATCATTTCGTAGATCCGGATTCTTTCCGGATTCCCTTCCTCCTGCCTGAGGGACATCCAGTAGTATTTCCTGTGTTATGGGTCTGCTGATGGTCAGTTCTGTCAGTTTGGTAGAGATGAAAAAATGTTTTTTAAGGCCTTTGTTATGGAAGGATATTTCCCATGGATAAAGAAATAAGGGTTTTTGTTTGTTTGTTTAGTATTTTGAAGATGTTAAGCCACTGTCCTCTGTGTGCATTTATGCTCATGAGAAATTCGTTGGTATCCTTCACTGTTTCTCTGAATCTAGTGTCTTTCCTCTCAGGGTGTTTTTCACACTATCTCTTTTTCTCTGCCTTACACAATGTGATTTTGTATGGGGGTTGGGTTGTTGTTTTCCCCCACACCCTGTATTTCATGTACTTAGGGTTTCTCAAGAATTCGGAAACTATAGGTACTGAATTTTCATGAAATTTGAAACATTTTTGGCAAATACTCCTCAAATATTTTTTTATCCTCCCCTCCCCACCCTCACTTCCTGTGTTGACAATCACATGTGCATGACATTACTCACATTTTCCTACACTGAGTGCTGCTCTGCTCACTTATAAAGTCTCTCTGTGCCTTTCACTTGCCATGTCTGTGCTGCATCTTCAGATTCCCTCACGGTCTTCATCTTGTCGTGTCTGCTGGTAATTTCAACTGTTGTGTTTGTGATCTGACACACTGTTGTTTTCATCTCCAGTGGTTTGATTGGCGTGCTTTAATTTTCTTCTCTATCTCCTCTTAGCTTTTCAATCCTTCAGACGAAATTTGGTTGAAAGTCTGCAACATTTTCCTGACTTCCATGCCTTCTGTCCTGTCCTGCAGCTTCCAGACCTGCCACCCCAGGACTGCCTGAGCTGATTCTTAGCCTGAGTGACTTTCTCCCACCATCTCTGTCTCTCTGTGCATCACAGAGAAATACACACTTACCCACACATGACATCCATGTCCTATTAGATCTGTATCCTCCGGATATTCCTAAGTCATGCACCTTAGTAGCTATAGCTCTTTGTTGTTGTTGTTGTTGTTGTTGTTTTTCTTTTTATTTAAGATTTTATTTATTTAGTTGACAGACAGAGATCACCAGTAGGCAGAGAGGCAGGCAGAGAGAAAGGGGGAAGCAGGCTCCCTGCGGAGCAGAGAGCCCGATGCAGGGCTGGATTCCAGGACCCTGGGAATCATGACCTGAGCTGAAGGCAGAGGCTTTAACCAACTGAGCCACCCAGGCGCCCCACTCTTTGTTGTTAAAATGATGTTGTTTTAATAGTTCTTTTTTCTTGTGGTTTGCAGTCAGTCCTCACTTCCTACCTTAACAGAGTTCCTCCCAGTGACCTGACATCATTCACTTGCAGGATAAGGACATCGTAACATGGTCCCATCTCCCTCATCATTTCTGCTTTCATTGTCATGTTTTACTTGTTCTTCCACTATAAATCAAACACGTTGCTATGGTTTTTGCTTTAAGCACATGACTGTATTTCTAGGCATTAACCACTAAAACTTGTTTTAGATTTATCCATGTAGTTATGATTTCCCAAGCTTATTATAGTTTGTGCAGACTCACTTTTCCCTCTGTTACTCTTTCCTTCTCTTGGAGGGGCATCCATCACTGTCACTCATGCTGAGGGTTTGTGGGTGATCAGTTCTGGGAAGACTGTTGTCTAAGAAAGGTTGATTTCGTCTTCACTTTGCAATGACATTTTTTGTCAGTAAAGACCAAAGATGACAGATATTTCCTACTAGAATTTGAAAATGTATCTCTTTTTTTTCTACAGTTTTGTAGTTTACATATTTCATGATGAGAAATGTACTTCCTCCATGATGTTAGTTCTCTGTAGGAAACATGACTCTCCTCTCTGGTTGTGAGAGTTTCTGCATTGTTGTTTTGTTGTAATTTCATACAATGTGTCCTGTGCTGTCTCTCATGTTCCCTGTGCCTGAGCTTCATTGAGCTTCCTGGATATATTAGTTCCTCGGTTTCTCCAAATTTGAAGCCTTTCTGTAGATTGTTTCTTCTCCTATTTTTTTGATTCACCCTCAGTTTCATACCTTCCCTCCCTGAAGCCCCTGCACTTGCACATTGTCTGGGTGGCACAAAGGTGTCCTACAGGCACTTAGCCTTCATTAATTTGTCATTTCACTGTGTCTTTCATTTTGAACACTTTATATCACTTTTTCATCAAATTCCCTATTTTTTTCTTTTCCAGCATCATACTTGCTATCAGTCTATCCCCTGTATTTTTAAATTTCAGACATATTCATTTAGGGAAGTTTTTAAAAGAAATGTTCTTTAAAAAATGTCTTCCATTTCTGCTTCTCACATGTGTAGTCTTTTCTTCACCCACAGTCCCAGGGAAACAGAGTTCTAATAATTGATTACAAATTCCATGCTGATCTGCCCTGTGCAGCCTGCCTGGAGGACTGGGGGGAAGAGGACAAACTGGAGACCTCAGACCTCGGGACCTGGGACAGACCTGCTCAGTGCTCTGTGCACAGATCTGCTGGCATTGGAAGAGAGGGTGACACAGATGGGGAAGGGGTTTGTGTCTCACTTCCCCATCTGCCTGTGTTACTGTGAGCACCAGCACTGTTGTCATAGTACTGACAGTAATAGTCAGCCTAGTCCTCAGCCTGTGCTCTGCCGATGGTCAGGGTGGCCGTGTTCCCTGACTTGGACTCAAAGATTCACTCTGGGATCCCAGAGGGCCGCTGACTATCATCATAAAAGACCATCAAAGGGGCCTGACCTGGCTTCTGCTGGTACCAATGTACATAACCATATTCCAGTTCCTCTCCAGTGCAGGTGATTTTAGCCATCTGACCTAGGGCCACTGACACAAAGAGCGGCTGAGTCAGCTCACTGGAGGTCACAGAGCCTGAAAAGACAGAAGAGGAGAGGTTGCAATGAAGTCCAAGGACTCATCCCAGGGTCCCAATATTGAGGCTATGCTGTGCCTAAGCTTGGGGTTTGACGCAGGCTCAACTCAGGTCCTGTGCAGCTGAGTGCGGGCAGGACTGGAGACAGCACCTGTGCAGAGAGTGAGGACGAGAAGTGAGATAGGAGTACAAGCCATGGTGCATGTGCTTGGTGCTCTGTCTTCTGAGAACTACAGCTGGGCCAGGCTCACTCTATTCTCTCTTATTTCTTTCCAGGCCCTGGGGTGTGTGATTGTTAGTATTTATGCAAATTTCCTCCTCTCTGGGACTGCACATGCATTCAAACCACTTGTGAGCTCAGACCAGGTGACTGAAGAGGAAGAGAGGAAATCTCAGCTTCCTCTAAGCAACTCTCAGATCAGAAAATGAGCCTTGGTCTCCAAATTTAGTATCACACTCACAATTCTGGGGTTTGAACACAACCACTGTCCCTACCCATTCTGTCTGGGGTCTTTTGGTGCTAGTTCATGGCCTTCCAGAATCCTGGCCATGTGGCTGGTCTGGTCTCTCTGAGAGAGTCAGACAACATGTGATTCAGGGAAAGGTGGTTCTGTGACCTCAGTACCTTCCCTGCCCCCCTCCTTCAGGTTCCCTCTGTGTCCCCACAGACACTGTGGTACCACCCTTGGCATATCAGCAGAATAGGAAACTCTCTCATTCTGAGGTTCGTTCATCATCTTGTAAGTGCAAGTTTACTTTGCCTAATAACCACTGCTTTTGGAGATTTATCAGGATTTGTAGTCTATTTACACATGGTGCTATTGTCTCTATGACAGCCCCCATCCCACAGCAGACCAGCAACTGGCATTGTCAGCCATTTTTTCCCTTTTAATTTTTTCATTAATGTTTCATGGAAACATATGAAAATGGCCTGAATCCATGAGAAGCAACCTCAAGGTCTGTGATCCTGCAAGGATCTACATGATCACACGTTCCCATATGTTGTGAGCTCGAGAGCCTGCGCCATGGTCCCTGCAGCCAAAAGAATCACATCACTCTGGAGGAATTCTCACAAAGAGGCTCCAATTTCTCCTCCAGGAAGCAGGATCCCTGAGTGCTCTGCCTACTACCCCCGGAGATGCTCTTGAACAAAGATGCCGCAGCCCCAGGTCTGAGTTGGGGTGGAGATGGGGAAGGAGAGGCAGAGTGTGAGTGTCTCTGGATGTGCCCAGCACAGAGAAGTCAGTCCCTGGAGACACTGGTGGACAGAGAAGGGACCTGAATTTCCCAGGTGAGATGTTCACTGTGTCAGGACTCTTGTCAGTGTTCTGGTTGACACAGTGTGTCTGACCCTCAGAACATGGTCCTTGCAGCCTAGGGAGTTAGGATGGATCATCCTGACAGTCTCTGACGACTGAACCTCAGACAACCTGTTGACAGCCAGGCCTGATGTCCCTGTGAGGCTCCCCCTGGACAGCTCCAGTTTCTGTCCTGCAGCTCCTGATGCAGCTCTGCTGCCCCCTGCTGGTGGAGATGGACTCAGACCCCGAGCTTCCCTCCTGTAAGTTGCTCCGCAGCACCTGTCACCTGAGAAAGAGTGTGGACAAAGGTTCCCAGCCTCCCACAGGCAACTGCCCCACTGCCCTGTCCAGCCAAACACAGACAAGTCACATACATGGTGCAGGCTACAGGACAGGTGCAATTCCTGTAGTTGTCCCAGGGTTGAAATGCCCTGCCCTAGACTGCTGTCTTGTTATAAGAATGAGAGGGAAGGTACAGTGTAGTGCATTTGAAGAGTCAGTGTCCAAACAAACCTGTGTGATGTCTCACAGCCACCGGGTTCCTGTGTATTTAGGAATCAGAATCGATGCTTCCTGCATCACTATCGATGTAGTTGGATCATGGGAGTGACAGGTGATGATTCTGGTGTAAAGTTAAGTTAGCAGGAATATATTTAACTTTATTGTTATTACTGCTGTTTTTATTACTTTTTTTTTATTATCCAGCCCTCACCTCCAGAAGTTTGGTGTGGGAGGATTTGTAAAATATCCTAGTCTGTGGCTTGGTGATGTTGGCAAACTGCTCCTTCAGACCTGGATCCAATCACACATGCTGTAGGTACAGTGTAGCTGAAAACTTTTCCTTGCGTACCCACAGAAGTGTACTGGAGACTCCAACACCAAGAACCCCCTGAGTTGTTCTCATTAAAGAGACACTTCAGTGTTTTGTATCATTTAATTTGAAATGACATATTTCCTACTTGAGTATTAGCTTCCCCATTTCACTGCAAGTAAAGCAGATGCCCAGAGAATAAATTCCCAGGAAAACAGAGGAAAATAGGGGGAGTCTGGTAATGCAGCCCAGGTGTCTTAGATTTAGACCTGGAGCCTCTGGGGCAGAACTTGACTATGGTTTAAAGAAGAGAGTGTACATCTGGGGTTGTGCCCCCAGACTCACAGCCATTCCCCCTCCTGGCCTGGTCTATCAGGGAGCCTCCTACCCTCCCCTTGCAAGTGGGAGGGTCTGTGGGCTTGTGTTTCAGGTTAGAAATGCAGAGTCTATGGGGCAGTGGAGGCAGGTTGGCTGTGCTGGGGCCTGGGCTGGGTCCTGCTGGCTCCCTTCTGTATCACCACTTTATCTTCGGCTCTACTCTCCTGAGCCAGTGGGAGTGACAGGGATCTCATGGCCATCTACAGGGGCATCTGAGTCTTACAAGTGAACAGAGGACCGCCAATTTCAAGAAACTCTGGGGGACATTCTCTGTTTTCCCAACCCCTGCATCAAGCCCTGGGCCAACCTCTGGGTCAGGGTCATGGTCAGGGTTCTGTGGGAGCTGAACCTGTAGGGAGGGCCTGGGATAGCCCCTGGGCAGGGAGTGAGGAGAGAGAGAGCAGCAGGGTCCATGTCATGGTGGGGATAAGAATCTGTCTGTTGAGTCCACAGCTGAGTCTTCCCCCCTGCAAGCCTCCCTCATTTTCTCACTGGTCCTCCTGAAGATGTTCCTTCTCAGCCTGGTAGAGAGAATCTCTGTGCTTCTGGGTGGGCTTCCTGGATCTGGTGCATGATGTGAGAGCCAAAATCACCTCTCAACTCTTCTTGGAGAGCTCTGGTCACTCTGTGTTTGAAAATCTTAAAGTCTTGGAGAGAAGGGACATGTGTGGGCATTTTGTATCTGTTCTCATGTAACGTTCACTGTGTGTATTCCATCTCTTCATCCTGTGTGTGATACACATAAGAGAAAATCATCCTAATTATTTTTAGGGACTCCATTCATCTTCTTAGATTTTCTATGTGTTCCCTATGAATGTTTCATGTCCCAGATTATGGAGCAGAATTGTGTGGGAATGATCTTAAATTGTGGCTTAGATTCTGTGTCACTTCCCTTCCTGGAGGTTTCTGATGGGCAGCATCTACTTGGGTGTTGCAGTGAAATTCAATATAACAATCTTTGTCTTTAATCTTGGCATTTAGAGCATTTCCTGAATGTGACTAGTAATATCATTTCAATATAGCAACTTCCTTTATGTTCTTGTTGTCCCATGTGTCCTTTGTTCCTTCTTTCCATGTATATATTTTTGATTAACATAATATTTTTAAATGATTCCATCTTATCTCCCATTTTTGCTTAAGTTCCTTCTGTCTGATGATCAATAACTTGCAATAGTCTACGTTCTGTGATGCTACCAATTTATATGGTATATAAGCACCTGATAACATCCTTCTGTGTCTCACCTCTCATCATAGTCACTGCGATTTTCCTACATATTATTTCAACTCTGTCAGGAGTTCCAACATACATAGTTATTTTATGTTCTGCACAGTATATTTTTCTGCACACTTTTAAAGAGAATTAGATAATAAAGAGGTCTTAATATTTATCCCCCTAGTTAGCATTTATGATGTTTATATTCATTTTGTAGATTCAGATTCTTCCTAGAATTATTTTATCTTCCTAAGGGATCTATATTGTTGCTTGTATTGCGTGTCAGCTGATGAAAACTTCTTTCACTTATTTTATGTGAAAATTTTCATTGAGACTTCATTTGTGAAGGATGATTTCCCTGGATGAATTGGTTCTTCCCCACCACCCCCGCCCCGTTCTTTCATCTCTAATTTAGAGACATTAATCCAGTGTCTCTTGCTGGCATTTCTACCGACGCAAAAAGCACTAACATCTTCTTCTGTTTGTTCCCCTGAGGGCAGGGACTCTTTCCCTCTGGCTGCTTCTAAGACTCTCTTGTTCATGGCCTTGAATATTTGATATAAATATGTGTTGTTGTTTTCTCTTCCTTTGTCTTGTGCTTGTGGTCTGTTGAGATTCTTGGACCCGTGCATCTTCAGTTTCATCAAGTTTGGAACATTCTCACCAATGACTGTCCAAACATTTTTCCATCCCCTACACACCACTGTCTCTCCTTTTTGGACACGTTACATCCTATTCCACCCCTAAAGATGTCCTCCAGCTTGGGGATTCTCTGTTTACTCTTGTGTCTTTTCTTCACTCTCTCACTTTGCAGTGTCTGTGCTGTGTCTTCAGGTTCCCTCATGTGTTCTTTGCTTTGTCGTGTCTGCTGTTACTCTCGACCCCTGGATTTGTGATCTGAGACATTGGAATTTCATCTGTAGGAATTGGATTTGGACCCTTTAACTTTCTTCTCTGTGTCCTGTGATCCTGTCAGCGCTCAGACTACATTTAGATGAGACATTGCAACATCATTCTTGCTAGAAAATCCAGGCTTCTGGCCTCCCTGCATCTTGAGTGCATGCACATTTTTAAAAAAGCATTTATTTATCTATCTATTTATTTATTTATTTGGGAGAGAAAGAGTGAGAGAGAACAAGCAAGGGGAGTTCCAGCCATAGGGAGAAGCATGTTCCCTACCAAGTAAGGAGTGTGATCTGACTGAACGACCTTGGTGTCCCTATGACCCATTTCTTTAAATCAGCTTCTGTCTATCTCCCTGTTTCTGTCTCTCTGGGTATGTGTGTGTAACATATGAATATATATCCAGGTGTGTATGAATTATAGGCCATATTGGATCCATATTCCCTGGAGAACCCTAACTAATACACCTTACCAGCTCTTTCTCTTTGTGGTTCAAATGGTTTTATTTTGGTGTCTTACTTGGTGTTGGAGATCTTCACTGCTAATTGTCAAGTACCTTCTTGTGACATGGTGTCGATTACATGTAGAAGAAGGATGTGATAAGAAAATTTTCTTTCCCCAACATTTTTACTGACGATTGTCATATATTTTATAGATGCACATTATAAATCACAATATATTGTTCTTATTTCTACCTAAACAGTTGACTCTTTAGTAGACACTAAATAATAAAATCTTTTTACATTTACCCATTTAGTTTTTGCTATCTGATAATTTTTATACCATTGTGTAGACTCACATTTCACTCTGCTACACTTTCCTTCTGTCCCAGGGTGTCCTTCACTGTCTCTTGTGCCAAGAGTCTGTGGGTGATCAGTTCTGGGAGGTTTACAGTCTGAGAAAGGTTTAGTTTGTCTCACTTTTCAATGACATTTTGACTGGTTAAAAATGAAGGTTAACACAAGAAACAAACTCTTCAGTGTAGAAAACAAACTGGCGATTACCACAAGGTGGGGTGGGAGGATGACTGACATAGATGATGAGCATCAGAGAATACAAAAATAAAAAAAATAAGATTGTCCGTTTTTTTAGTTGTATTTTGAAGACATTGCCCCCCCCCAACTCATTTGTCCAGTTTACTTGGTTTGTAAGGAGGAATGTATTCCCACCACGGTACTGGATCCCTATAGGAAACACGACTCTCCTCTCTGGCTGTGAGAGTGTCTACAATCACTGGTTTGCAGTGATTTCATTACGATATCTGCTGTGCTGTCTCTCATGTTCCCTGTGCCCGAGCTTCGTTGAGCTTCTTGGATACATTGGTTTATGGGTTTCACAATTTGAGAACTTGGTGGCTCTTTTTCCTTCAGATATGTTTTCAGTCACCATCCACTCCCCACTGTCTCTGCCTCAGTTACTCCAATTACACATCTTTAGGTAGAAAGAAGCTGTCCTCCCTACACTGGGACTTTCTTCAATTTCTCCAGCTATTTCACTCTGTGTTTCATTTTGAACAATCTCTATTGCTGTGACATCAAGGTGACTATTCCCTTCTTTGGTAACATGTAATCTGCTGTCAATCTCCATCTCTGTATTTTTAAGTCTCAGAATATATGATTATCTTTTAGGGAAGTTTTAAAAGATTTGGGCTTTGGAAAATGTCTTCTATTGTTTGCTTCTAACATATTCAGTCATTCATGAGCTCACATCCACAGCTTAAGTATAGTTATAATAAATGTGTCCTTATCCTCTGCCAATCCATCTTGTAGAACCTGTCTGAAGGTGTGTAAGGAGAGTCAGCCTGTGGATCTCAGATGTTGGATCCTAGACTAAACCTGCTCCCTGCTCTGTGCATAGTCCTCCTGGGGCTGGAGGAGGTTGAGACACAGGCAGGGAAGGGGATTTTGTCTCACTTCCCCATCTGCCTGTGTCACTGTGAGCTTCACCACTGCTTTCTGATGACTGACAGTAATAGTCAGCCTCATCCTCGGCCTGGGCCCCGTTGATGGTCAGGGTGTGTGTGGTCCCTGAACTGGAGCCAGAGAATCGGTCTGGGATCCCAGAGGGACGCTCAGTGTCCTTATAAATGACCTGCACAGGGGGTTGGCCTGGCTTCTGCTGGTACCAATATGCATATTTTTCTGACAGTATCTCTCCAGAGCAGGTGATGGTAGCTGTCTGTCCCAGGGACACTGACACCGAATGAGGCTGAGTCAACACACTGGAGGCCATGGAGCCTGAAAAGACAGAAGAGGAGAAGTTGGTGTGAGGTTCAGGGGCTCCTTCCCTGGGTCCCCATAATGAGGTTTTTCTTGGTTTGAGCTCAAGTCCTGAGTCAGGCTCAGCTCAGGTCCTGTAGGGGCTGAGGATTTGCAGAGGGTCCAGGGACACCACCTGTGCAGAGAGTGAGGACAGGGAGCAGGAGAGGAATCCAGTCCATGGTGGAGATGCCCAGAGCTCTGCTTCCTGAGATCCCACAGCACTGCTGGGTTCCACCCCAGCCTCTTTTATTCCTTTCTATGTCCTTGGGTCAGTGACTGTTAGTAGTTATGCAAATTTTCTCCACTTCAGGGGCTCCTAATTGATCCACCAGTTGTGAGATCAGAACATGTGATTGAGGAGGAAGAGAGGAGTCCCGAGTTTACTCCAAGCAGCTGCCAGTTTCAAAACCATCCTCAACAGCAAACATTTGGGATCAGTTACTTTCCTGGCATCTGAACACATGATAACCAAATGAAACTACTCTATATGGGGTGTGCCTTTGGTTTTCTCTATGGTCTCTCAGGAGCCTGGCCATGGAGGTGGGCTGGGTCCTCTGAGAGATGCAGGAAACATGATCCTATGCCCTCATTACCTTCCTCCTCCTGCACTGTGTCCCCACTGTGTCCCCCTGAGGCACTGTGATCCCATGCTTCCCATGTCATCAGATTGTGGAACTTTCTCATCAGAATGTTTGTGCATCGTTGTCTGTGAGAGTCCACTTATTTTTTTAAGATTATTTATTTATTTATTTATTTGACAGAGAGAGAGAGAGCGCGCGCGCACAAGTAGCAGAGAGGCAGGTAGAGAGAGAAGGCGAAGCAGGCTCTCTGCTGAGCAAAGATCCCAAAGATCCCAAAACAAAGGCAGAGGCTTAACCCAGTGACCTACCCAGGTGCCTGAGAGTCCACTTGTTAAGAGATCTTCACTTTTGAAGATTGATCACAATGTCTAGTGTATTGACACATGGTGATTTCATCTCTCTGACACCCCCATCCCACAGCAGACCAGCTCATACATTGTCAACACATTGATTCCTTTGTGATTCTTCATCGGTGTTACATGGAAACATGCGACTTGCACGAGAAATCACCACTGACAGTTTTGAGCACCATGTGTTGTTAGGGTCCCAGAGTTAGGTCTTTTCACATGGGTGAGTTTTGGAGCCAGGCCAGCCTCCCAGGAGGGAGCTGGATTCTGTCACTGCTAAAGGACAGCCCAGGGACCAGAGCTCTGGCCTCAGGTAGTGAGAATCCCTTAACTCTGAAGACAGTCCCACAAGGAGGCTGTGGTGCTCATTCCAGGGACCAGGGTCCCCAAGTACTCCTTGTCCCACCCTTGAGACCCTCCTGAGCAAAGAAGCTGCAGACCTGGGTCTGCTTCTGCCTGGACATGAGGATGGAGAGTCAGAAGGTGAGTGGTCAGGATGTTCTCAACTTGTCCAGATCAGATGAGTCAGCTCCTGGAACACCAGTGCACAGAGCAGGGGGATCCATTTCCCATGTGAGGCATTCACTGTGTCAGGACTCCCGTCAGTTTCCTGGGTGTCACTGTGTGTCTGACCTTCAGAGCAAGGTCTCTTCAGCAGCTGGAGATAGGAGTGATTATTCCAACTTCTTTCTTTCTTTTTTTTTTTTTTTAAAGTATTTATTTATTTGTCAGAGAGAGAGAGAGAGAACGCGAGAGTGAGCACAAGCAGATAGAGTGGCAGGCAGAGGCAGTGGGAGAAGCAGGCTCCCTGCTGAGCAAGGAGCCCGATGTGGGACTCGATCCCAGGACGCTGGGATCATGACCTGAGCCGAAGGCAGCAGCTTAACCCACTGAGCCACCCAGGCGTCCCTCCAACTTCTTTCTGGGAACTGAACCCTGGACCCCTGCTGACCCCCAGAATTGGTGTCCCTGAGAGGCTTCCCATGGGCAGCCCCAGACACTGTCCTGTTGTTTGTGATGCAGCTCTGCTGTCCCCCGCTGGTGGAGGAGGACTCAGACCAGGAGTTTTCCTCCTGCAGGTTCCCCCACAGCACCTGTCACCTGAGAAGTGATGTGGACCATGGTTTCCAGCCTCCTACAGGCAGCCGCCCACCCCCAAGCCCTGCCAAGCCCAGCACAGACAGGCCACATACACGTGCAGGAGGCAGGACAAGTGGGATTCTTGTACTTGTCCTAGGTTTGAAATGCCCTGAGCTATCCTGGTGTCTTGTTATAAAAAGAAGAGTGCAGGGTACAGTGCCCTGCATTTGAAAAGTGTAAAATCCAGATTAATCCATGTGATTTCCTATCACTACTAGTTTCCTGTGTATTAAGTGTCAAGACTGATGATTCCCCACCCTAATTAGTGTAGATTGTCATAAGTGGGAACAGATGATGCACATAAATCTGCATTATTATTGTTGTTGTTGTTGTTGTTATAAACTCCTCAGGGCATAGCTACCAGGACAGGAAATAGGGAGGGAAGGTGGCAGCAAGCTTTCTGTTCCTGACTCACTGCCATCCCCATCCTGTCTGGTCTCTAAAGAGCCCCTCGGCTTGCACATAGACAGGGTCAGTGGGGTCATGTCCTAGGTTAGAGCTGGAGAACCTGTGGGGACAGTGGAGGCTATTTGGCCATGGGTCCGGGGTCCAGGGGCTCTGCTCAGCATTATTGTTTGGTCCTCTATCTCCTGAGCAGGTGGTAGTGTCATGGCCACTCTATTGGGAAAAGCTAATCTTATAGGTCACCACACAGCCTGAAAAATCAGGAGTCTCTGGGGCTCATTCTCATTGTCCCCAATCTTGCAACATTCCCTGGGCTGAGCTCAGGCTCAGGGTCATGCTTGGGGTCAGGTGGGGGCTTAGACCATAGGCAGGGCCTTACGGGCAAGAGCTGGGTAGAGAGTGAGGAGCAGGAGCAAGAGAGGGTCCCGGTCATGGTGGAGACCCCAGAGTTCTCTCTCCTGAGGCTACAGCTGAACCTAGCCACCCCAAGCTTCCCTCATGTCATCACTGGTTCCTGTGAAAATGCTCCTTCTCAGGCTGCTGGAGAGAATCTCTGCTCCTGGCAGGCTTCATGGATCTGGTGCCTGTGGAGCTGTCCCCAACTCTCAGCTCCATAGCAGAACTCCTGTCTGTATGAAAAATTCTTCTTTAATTTTTTAAAATTTTAATTTAAAATCAATTAATTAACATACAGTGTATTATTGGTTTCAGGAATACAGTTCAGTGATTCATCAGTTGCGTATAACACCCAGGGCTCATTATATCATGTGCCTTCTTTAATATCCATCACCCCCTACGCATCCCCCAGCCTCTTCCCTCCAGCAACCCTCAATTTGTGTCTTACGGTGAAGGGTCTCTATGGTTTGTCTCCCTCTCTGGTTTCTTCTTGCTTTATTTTTCCCTCCCTTCCCCTAAATGTAGGGGAAAGGAGGGAGGGGTGAAGGCTATTTCCCTATCAGTTCCTCATGAGATGTGCACTGTGAATATTTCTTTTTTGTTTGTGTGTGTAAAATACATGCAATATAAATAATTTCATTCTAACTATTTTTAAGTGTTCACTCTCTGTCTCTTCCCTGTGAATGTTTCATGTTCTACATTGTGGAGTAGTATTGGTGTGAACTTGTCTTGAACTTACACTTGGATTTTCACGTGGCTTCATTTATAGTAGTTTTCTGAAATGGGATATAGAGTCGGGCATTACTTTGAAACTCAGTTTGACAATCTGTCTTTTCTTTGCATTTAGACCTTTTCCAGGGCGTGATTAGCACTGACATTCCACATAACATCCTTGTATATAGTGTTTCTTTATCCATGTTCTCCTGGTTTCCTTTCTCCTTTTCTTCCCTTTTTAAGTTATTGGTGCATTTTTAGGATTCCATTTTATCTCCAACTTTTTTTGTTATTAGCTCTATCTATGTCTGTCATATTCTCATGAATTATAATAGTCCACATTCAGGTGTGTTCTCCCATGTCACACAGACTGTCAGATCCTTACAGCAAACTTCTCCCTCTTCTTCTCAGTATTTTTTGCTGTAATTCATATATATTACTTTTAACTCTATTATAAATTCCAACATAGATAGGTATTCGAGTTTCTTTAGACAATGAATTATCTTCAAAAAAGATTTAGATCCTAAAAAAGTCTTAATATTTTCCCTAGTAGTTACCATTTGTGATTTTTTCATCTGTCTTATAGAATGTGATTCTTCCTGGAATCACTCCTTCCTGCTTGAGGGGTGTCCAGTACTATTCCTTTTGTATCGGGTTGGCTGATGATCAATCCTGTCACTTTTTGTATGTATGTCAGAAAATGTTTTATTCAGCCTTCATTTTTGAAAGATGTTCTCCTTTGGCAAAGAATTAATTTTTTCCCTGTATTTTAAAAATTTATTGTCCTTGCTTGCATTTCTGTTAATGAGAAATTTGCTAGAAATTTTCTCTGTCTTTCCCTAAAAACTGTGTGTCTTTCTTTTTGTTTACTTTTGAGAATGCCTCGTTTCCCCTGCCTATTTGACACTGGTGGATTTTTTTTTTAAACCTATGTCTTGTAGTTAAAATGTGTTGAGCATTTGGGGTCTGGGGGTTTTAGTTACAGGTATAGTTATAGGCTGGTTTAACAGATGATCACACAGGGGCTTGATCTAGCCTCTGCTGGTGCCTGTAAGCATGTTTACTTCCAGTGCTATTTCCCCACAGGTGATCCTGGATGTCTGCTCCAGGACCACCTACACAGAGGAGGGTTGAGTCACCTCATAGGAGGCCACAGCTACAAGAGAGGAAAGGAGAGGTTGGCCGGAAAATCAAGGACTCATTCCAAGAGACTGCCCATCTGTGAGGCCTGGCCTGAGCTCCAGGGATTTTCTAGATCTACAGGGGTGCCTCTCTCATCAGCCTTAGTCCCAGAGTAGCATGGGTCTGACTGGTGGTTGGAGCTTTTAAGAAAACTGGAAAAGAACTCTATTCCTGGGCATGGGCATTCCACCAGGGCTCACAGAAAGCCATGAGCACTGTCGGGGTGTTTCACTAACCCAGCTCTCATCCTGCAGCAGGGTCAGGAGTATCCTCACTACAGGCAGCCCCTGAAGGGCTCAGACGTAGAGTCTGGCTTGTCCCAAGGACCTGTAGCTGGTGTGGCTGTGAGCCTGGGCTCAGCACCTGTATAGTGAGCTGGACCCTGAGCAGAAGAAGGGTCCAGGCCATGGTGGAGGTGCGCCGATTCTGCTCCAAGGTCTGAGGTTAGGCAAATGTCCCAGGCCTCTC